CTGGCTCTGGTTTTTCTTTTTTCTTTTTTTTAATTAATAAGACCATCTAAGATTTGGGCAACATCTGGCATCCAACTTGTGGAACATGAATTCACCAAAAAGCTGCTTGCCTGTGGCCTTGTAGGCCATGGCTCAGGCCCAGGCTGCACGTGACCAGAATCTCCACCCTGGCTGGGCCAGACTTCCTAACCCATTGGCTAGGTTTTTGTTGCAGCCTCTTTGTAGCAAATTCTGTAGGTTTTTTTTGGACTCCAAAAGCCATAGGAGTTAGCCACTTTCTCATGCTCCCTCGTACAGATGGCTGTCTCTTTGGTTTCTTCTCTCCTGGTGGGTTGTGGGCTCTCCCTGGATCCCCATCTTGGGCTGCTACCACACTAGATAGCTGCCTTGAAACTTGTTTGGACTTCTACTGTTCTATAGAGAAGCAGTCAGCCCCACATCTGAACCATCATTGTTGGCCGATTTGATGAGACAATTGGGATTTCATAAAGGGAGAAATTAGTTAAAAGAGAATTTTTTCCCACACTGAAAAAATGGAAAACATTTTTACAATGAAAGGAGTTTGGTGTCTGTTTGATAAGACAATTGATGTTCTGAAAATGGAACAATTAAATGAGAGGATAATTAATGTTGATGGGATTTATGTAATGTCAATTATAAATATTATTTGTTTGATCATTTTTGTTTTATCATTAAAAAGTTGGTTAATATGAGTCCCAAGATAAAATTTTAGAAAAACTTGTTAAAACAGGCCATAGAGATATTCAGACCCAGATACAAGAATTTAAAGGTAAACCAATCTCAGCATTGGATTATAAGGTTACAGAGAAACAGCCTTAGGCTTTCAAACAGCCAACCTTACTCTATCCAGGAGCCGTACAAAAACTGCCAAATGCTCAAGGCTGTCTAAGAGCTGACTGGACCCTGTGCAAATGTTAGATATGAGGAGATTCAAAGAAGCTATAATGCCATATGTATTCATTCCCTGTTTGTGAAGCAGATGTTAAACCCATGGTCAACTTGTAATAGAAGTATCCCTCAAGACTGGAGAGATTTGTTTACAGCAGTTTTAGAGGCTGGTCCCCAATTACAATGAAGGACCTGGTGGAAAGATGAGGCTAAGACTACTGAACAACAGAATAGGGCTAGAGGTATGGAAATTTCCCAAGATCAATCTTGTATAATATTAGAGGGATAAACCTTAACATTATATATCCCAGGGGCTCAGGAGAGAAACTAAGAATGGTGAGGACTATTTTTTGGGAAAATAGAATCTCAGCACACTGAGATTCTATTCACTTTAATTCCCCATTCAGTCTCTAGCTTTACAGTTATATACCCAAACAATCACAATCCTCCCCTCCAGCCAGGTCACCAGGTCTGAATTCCTGCAAGGTCATAAAGGCAGGTAAGAGTTTACTCAGGCAGCAATTGTCAGGCTTTCTTTTACAACCTGAAAATGGAGTGGTTAAGGGATAGGGTCAGCTGAGAGCTATTATCAGTTAGTATATCAAAAAGGGAATTTATGTGCTCAATCTATATTCCTAGGAGTGGTTAGGTAAGAAGTTAGGGGGTCTATAAAGTTAGTAAGGCTGTAAGAGGGTCTAAGCTAAATTGTGTAAAGCTATTGCTTAAGGTCCATCTGATCTAAGCCGTGTTTCCTTGTGGAATTTACCTTAAATCAGGAGACTAGCTTATGGTGATCTGGACTTTTATTTCTGTTAAGTCTAGAATGTGGCTAAGGGAGATATCTGATTCCAGTGTTGAATGAGGAGAAACAGATGGGCTGGGGGATGGGAGGAAGCCTTTCTTGAGGCTGTTCTCCAAATACCTTGAATGTATATGTCCAGAGAGTGATCAGTCCACACTGTTTGCACTTCTTAGGGAAAAACCAATTGGGAAAACTATGAAGGCACACATGACTTTCATAACAGAAGACAGCTGATATATAACAAACCAAATAACAACAAAAACTCCCTGGAATTTGGCTTCCTCTGAAGGAATTCCTTGATTCCTTCAGCATAACCAGCTGCATTCTTATAATATTTCCCTGTGGCCTGTAGCCAATCAATTTCTCGGAGAAGGTGATTATGCTGATATATAAAGACAATCTCTATATGATGACCATACCCTGGCTTTATGCCAAATGGCAGCCTTGAATGCTTGGGACAGAATTGAAGAAGCAGGAAAGAAAATTGAGTCATTTACAAAAGTTATACAGGGCCCAAAATAAACCTTCACTAATTTCTTACAAAGGCTGTCTTCAGTAGTAAATAGAATGGTACCAAATTCAGAAGCTAGACAGATAATAATTGAATCTCTGGATTTTGAAAATGCTAATGGACATTGCAAAAGGGTAATTAGGCTGTTAAAGGCAAGATCAGCACCTTTGGAGGAATAGATCTAAGATACAATGAATATTGAATCTCATGACCATGATACTTGGAAAGGAGAGGTGATTTCCAGAGGTTTGAAGAAAAATAGTAATGCCAGATGTTTCAATTGTGGCAAAGTCACCTAAAAAGGGACTGTAAATAGAGCATTCCTAGAAACAATGTTTTTTCAAGGAATAATGGCAACATAATGCCCCTCCCTTCTGGATTATGCAGAAAGAGTGGCAAAGGCAAACATTGTACTAACAAATGTAGATCAACAAAGGACAGACAAGGTAATCCTTTGCCTTTGCTATTGGGATACTCCCTGAGGGACCTCTCCCAGGCCCCCATGACAAAAACTGACAGGCAGTTCAGTCCTTTCCTGCCACCATGAAAGAAATCCCTTCCCAAAGCAATTAAAGAACCTAATGCCTTTTGAAAAACAACAACAACAACAACAACAACAAATCATGCTGCTCAGGGCAATAGAACAGCTATAGAAAAGAGAAAAAAAATTCAGGAGAAACCATAAAGTGAGTTTTTTCACAATATTCTATAAATGAATAAAGAACAAAATTAAAAATAAGAATAAATAACATTCTTATTGAAGGTCTTGTAGACACAGGTGCAGATGTAACAATAATTGCACCAGAATCTTGGCATCCAAATTGGCCTCTTCAGGAGGTAAATGATCAGCTGTTAGGGATTGGAACATTATCTTAAGTGAAACAGAGCATGAGATGGGTCAAATGTATAGAGCCAGAAGGACAGAGAGGAAGATTAAAGCCATATGTGTCTAATAAAGCTATGAATTTATGGGGATGTGATTTGTTACAACAATAGAATACCCAGATTAACATTCCTACAATTTCAGAAACAAACCACAAACTAACATATGTTTCTGAGAAAAATATTAGAAGGTATTATAAAGAACAGTCACTGACCATCCAGACTGTACAAGAACAGGGCACAACAGCTGCTGATCTTTCAAAGGCACCAACAGCCTTACCTTTAAAATGGTTAACAGACAAACCTGTATGGTTTCAGCAATGGCCTTTAACAACAGAGAAACTATAGGCCTTAGAATGGCTGGTACAAGAACAGTTAAATGCTCAGCATATTGAAGAATCAACCAGCCCTTGGAATTCTCCTGTATTTGTTATTAAAAAGAAATCTGGTAAGTGGAGAATGGCAACAGATTTAAGAGCTATTAACAAGGTAATTCAGCCAATGGGCTCTCTACAATTTGGAATTCCTTTGTCTATTCTGTTATCTAAAGGATGGCCTCTTATAGTTTTCAATTTAAAAAACTGTTTCTTCTCAATACCTTACAAGAAAAAGACAGAGGCAATTTTGTCTTCACAGTGCATGTTAAAAGATATTAATGGAAGATTCTCCCACAGAGAATGTTAAATAGCCCAACCCTGTGCCAATATTTTGTATTTCAGCCATTGGAAGTAATATGAAAACAGTTTCCCCAATTTATATTTTACCATTACACAGATGACATTTTACTAGATGATTCAAATGCAGATTCTTTTTTTTTTTTTTTTGGTTTTTCGAGACAGGGTTTCTCTGTGTAGCTTTGCGCCTTTCCTGGAACCCACTTGGTAGCCCAGGCTGGCCTCGAACTCACAGAGATCCGCCTGCCTCTGCCTCCCGATTGCTGGGATTAAAGGCATGTGCCATCACCACCTGGCGCAAATGCAGATTCTTTAGAAAGAATGTTTGAAGAAGTAAAGAAAATTTTGCCTTGTTGGGGATTACAAATTGCTCCTGAAAAGATACAAAGAGGAGATTCTATTAATTATTTAGGATATAAAATAGGTCCACAAAAATTAGACCTCAAAATGTGCAAATTAGGAGAAATTGACTACAGACTCTTAATGACTTTCAAAGATTATTTGGAGACATTTCCAATATATGGACCACTATTGGGACAAAAAATGATGAACTGAGTAATTTGTTCAAAACCTTAGAGGTTGACAAGGACTTAAATAGTCCAAGAGAATTATTAGCTGAAGCTGAGAGAGAATTGGCTTTGGTAGAAAAGAAAATACAGGATGCACATGTGGATCATTTGGATCTAAAGCCTGATTGCATTCTGGTTATTTTTACCTTCTAAGCATTCTCCTACAGGAACTTTAATACAGAGGGAAGATATTATATTGGAATGGAAATTTCTACCAAATAAACAGAGTAAAAATTAAAACTTATGTGGAAAAGATCTCTGAGTTGATTTTAAAAGAAAATTTGAGACTTCATCAATTAGCAGGAATAGACCCAGCAGAAATTATAGTACTGTTAACTAAGGATGACACTGACAAATTGCAGGCAGAAAGTAAACTAACTGTATCCTGCCTCATATTGTATGGGAAACATGAATATCTGGAGCCCCCCAACATTTTATACAGACAAACAAGGAAAGGCAGGTTATAAATCAGAAAATTTAAGTAAAGTGGTTCAGAGTACTTATAATTCTGTCCAAAACCCAGAATTCTATGCCATTCTGATGGTATTAATGGATTTTTCAGAAATTCTCAAAATAGTTACTGGCTCTCAGTATTCCGAAATAGTGGTCTTATATACTGAAATTGCTGAATTTATCTATTTTTTTTCTCCTAGCAACCTGTCTTCTAAGCTCCCTCAAGGACCAGATGCCCGAGGTCTCCACAATGACAGCTAACTGAATGCTTCTTCACTCATACCTCCCACTGTGCATGACCCTGACTCCCAACTTCTCCTTCCCCACTTTGTCCCAAATCAGCAGGAAGTAGTCTCAAGAATTCGGTGCCCTCATCCCCCCCACACTTGCTATCCATAACTCACCTTTTATAATAATCGAAAAGGGAGGAATGTTAGCATCCAGACTGGCCCCTGGCCTGCCCAGCATCCTTACAATGCCATCCTACATAAAGTATCCTTTAAGAAAATACCCCTCCCTCTTTTCTCCTTCTCTATTCCCATGAGTTACACACCTCTGCTCTCTCTCTCTCTCCTTCTCTCTCTGTTCTCTTCTCCTTTCCTCCCTATCCTTCTCTCTTCCCCCTTTAACAATAAAATTTTTCATGTGAGTGCCACCTGCGTGATATATCTTTCCTGTGGCTCCCACCTGCTGTGACTGATGCCCACCATGTCTGCATGGCATGTCTTTTTCTCACCCACTGTGGGGCTCCTCAACCCCAACCCACCATTCTCTAGCTATTCTATAAAAACTACTCCTAAAACAAGGAAAGCTATGTGCTGCCTTGGGTGAATCCTGTTGTTTCTATGCTAACTACTCAGGTGTTGTTAAAAATACTCTTCAGGAGCTCAAAGTAAGTCTCCTCAAAAGACAGAGAGACAACAATCATTTTCTTGGTTCCATAAGCTCTTTGATTGGTCCCCCTTGGTTAACAACCTTATTGTCCTCCATTGCTGGTCTGTTGCTTATTCTTTTCATACTTTTAACAGTTGGTCCATGTGTGATCAATATGCTGATTAGATTTATAAGAAAACACATTTCAGTAGAACTCTTGATTCTCTACCCACAGTATACAACCATTAAAGATTCAGACTTAGACTCGGACTCATATATAGATTCAGAGGAATCAAGGGTTTGATTCTGGTAATAACTCAAGGGGGGAATGAAGAGCCCAGATAAATAAAATTGTAAGCTTGTACATATTCTAGAGAGATGAGAGCTGACAACCAGAAGCTTTGTTAAATGCCAAAGGTTTGCTTTTAATGATAACTCCCCTGCCTTACAGCTGACAACTGCTGTGGACCAAGGTTAACCATTAATAGTTGCTTCTACACGACCTTATATCTTGCATTGTTGTATATTCTTCCCAGCTACAGGGAGAACAGCTGTGTCAGGACAGCTGCAGACTTTTGCAAATATCTTAAGCTAACACTCTGTAAGCAGAAATTGTAAATCTTGAAATATAACATGACTCTAAGCTTAACCTCAAGATTATATAAACCATTTATTTATTTATTTATTTATTTATTTATTTATTTATTTATTTATTTATTTATTTATTTGATTTTTCGAGACAGGGTTTCTCTCTGTAGCTTTGTGCCTTTCCTGGAACTCACTTGGTAGCTCAGGCTGGCCTTGAACTCACGGAGATCCGTCTGCCTCTGCCTCCCGAGTGCTGGGATTAAAGGCATGTGCCACCAACAGCTTATATAAACCCTTTATGTCCCATACATGATGCTTAGTTTTCATTATAAGAAGAGGCTTCATGAATGGGGCTAGCCATGGGAAGAGTGATGTGGCTGCCAGAAAGAACGGAATGGAGAAGTCCCTTGATTATACAGAAGAGGCAAAGGTGGATGAGCCTGACAAAAAGAGCATCTATTCCCTTGAGTCTGGAGTGGTGGTACCAGCACTGATGAATGATGTGTTCTTCAGGAGTACCTGAGACATCACATCTGCTGTTAATCTGAAGATGGGAAATGCCTCTATCCATCCTGTAAGAGTGTCAACAGATTAAGAGATAACAGTTTTTAATGAGTGGGCATGTGGATGAAGTTAACCTGCTAGTATTCACCCAGTTGGGTTGGTGTCCTTGGTTGGTGCAGCAGCTGGTGGTGTATCTGGAGGACTCCGAGGGCTGGGTTCTCCAATATTATTATGGACCAGCCTTAACAATCTTCTTCACAGGGGCCCAGAAGAGAAGTTAAAAACAGTGAGAATTATTTTCAGGAAAAGAATCTAAGTACACAGAGCTCTTAGTCTATCTACTTTATTCCTCTGGGATAAAATTCTATCTACACAGCTTCAGTTCTGTTCTCATGCCTAGCTCCTTTCTTGCCTGATTTCTCTCTACATTTATCTGCTGTCCCCTCTAAGTTCTTTCTTAATTCTCTCATCTTAGTTCTGCCCCATCTTGGTCTTTCTCATCTCGTTCTTCCCCATCAGGCTCTTTCTCATCTTTCATCTCATTCTTCTAGTTCTCCACCTAGTTGTCCAGTCAAAATCCTTTCAATCCTCTCTAAGTCTCTGAGGTTTACAGTTATATACCCACACAATAGCAGTGCTCTAGCCAAAGTGAAGTCACCAGGCTTGAATTCTTACAGAGTCATAAGGCAGACAAGAATTTTCCTCAGGTAGTGACCATCAGGCTTTCTTTTACAACCCAAAAGGGGAGTGGTAAAGGAGGAGGTTAACATATTAGAAAAGGGGAATTTATGTGCTCAAACTACATTCCTAGGGGTGGTTAGGTAAATATTAGGAATCTATAATGTTAGTATAAATACCACTAAGGTTGCATAAAAAAGGGGTGTCTGAGCTTAATTTACCTTAATTAAGGAGATCATTTGGCCTTGGATGCTTGATAGGGATTTCAGATAAAATATACTATTATGAGTTCTTGGAAGTGTACATATCATACAAGGAAATCATTGCAGGAAACAGCTAATATATATACAAAAGCTAAAATATCACCGAAACTTCTTAAGCCATGGCTTGACCTTTAGAAAAGTCCTTGACCTTTCCAAGTAGTAGCTTTTGTGACTCTAGCAAATTCCATTACGTTTTCCTGGGGCTAGCAGCATTGGGCCTTGGTGTGAGTCTGGCAGGAGGGGTGGATCTGTGCAGGAACCTGCAAGTGTCTGTAACAACAACTGGAACAGATTTACATTTTGTTGTCACAGCAAAAGCTATGGCTTTGGGCTAAAAGGCACGAACATTTTCTAGGCCTGGTTTCATTTTCTAGGCCAAATGAAACACATCTTTAAATCTATTACCAGAGGAAATATACTGAATGGAAGTGGTTGAGTGAGTGAAGGAGGAGGAGGGAGGCTTCCATACCTTCTCTAATGCTAACCTATCTCTAAAAGCTGAGACCAGTAACGTCTAGAGAAATTTAAGGACTCCCAAAACTGCTTGTAGTCAGTGCTCTATCAGTTTATCAAAACTGCACTTATCAATGTTAAAAATTTTGAACCGTCAAAGTTACATCTGAAACCAGTTTTATCCTGTACCATGGAGTCTGTGAACGAGGCACATCTGTCTGTACTTTGAACAGGAAAACTTATTAATGAGATACCAAATGGTGTTTGTAGCCTTAGGCTTGGGAGAGAACTGTGAAATTGGCAAATCCTGGTCATCAAACACCATCAGATCCGAGAAGGATGAGTAAGTGAACAGAACTGAGACAGCTTCCCAGCTATGTAGGCAGTCCCAGGGTTCTCTTAAACGGAAAGGAGGGGGTTCCATCCACCCTATGACAGGAATTGGTGAGGGAACTGCAGGACCCAAGGAAGAGGTGAGAACAGAGTTGGTAGCTCCAGTAGAGTCCAGTAGAAGGTCAATGGACTTACTCACTCCCTGAAGTGCCACCCCAGGCTCAGAGAGATAATGGGAGCCACCAAGTCTAGGCAACATCAGTCCTCCACCAGGCTTATAAGTTTAAAGGCCGGGAGAGTCAGATGCCGGTGTTGGTGAGGCTGGATCTCTGTGGTGTGGCACAGAGGGTAAGCCCAGATGGGGTGTTCCAATCTCCAGTGTCCAGGCTGTCAGCAGACAGGGCATGGCCTCATGGGCAGCTGAGGGTCAGGGCACTACTGTGACCAGTGGCCCCAGGCTGCATTTGATGCAGACTCCTGGTGGAGTTGACTTGGGCTGAGCTCTGGTGAGATAGAGCCTCATGATTGACTTCCCTTGTCCTCCATGGCCTCAGGGCAGCTGCCAAGGCATGGGCTTGGATTGTAGCCTTCTGTTGCAGCTGGGCCCATCAGGAAGGCTTAGCTGTGACTTTTCAGGTGTTAAAAAAGTCATTTCCACCAATTTTTATGTAGGGATTGGGGACCCTCATCAGCCACTTTATTTATTTATTTATTTATTTTGGTTTTTCGAGACAGGGTTTCTCTGTGTAGCTTTGCGCCTTTCCTGGAACTCACTTGGTAGCCCAGGCTG